AGGGTCACCTCCTCCCTAGCCCCTCATAACTCCTGGCCCTCAATGTCTGTGTTCTTATAAATTAACCCACGGGACAGCACTTGTCTTTGGACTTTTGCTTTGAAGCCTTGTACGTATTCATTGACTGTTTCTCCCACCAGGAGCAGGGCCATGCCATGATTCCTTGCGTCGTCACCACCCTGCCCTCTCCCTGCTCCCCAGCAGCTGACACGGTATTTTCGGGTGCTGGGAAATTTTCGTTCAGAGTGTAAAGTTAATGCCAAGGCTGCATTAAGCTAATAAACTTAAAAAAAAATTTTTTTTTAACTGCTCCAGGTGAGGGTGTAAATGACAAAATAAAGGACCATGTAGACTAGATAAAATTACCTTCATCAAGTTCAAATTGTGGGAAAAAAGACTTTTCCTCTAAGCTCATATTATAAAGTTGTATGAGACTGTTACAAACTGACTTGAGAATAGTCTGAGCATGATCTCATCAGTTGGAACAGAGTAGGAAATAAAACACGAAGCCTTCCCTCTTTTTTGAAGGGTCTGTTTTATAGATTTTTAAATTACAGAGATTCCTTGAGCTGGAGGATAATAGTGAAGGGCCCACAAAGGAATAAGAATAAAGCAACATGGGTTTAAATAATTGAATGTGAGCAAAAGTTAAAGGGAATGTTTGTCACATCTGACACACCCTACCCTCTTGCCCCTCCCCAACTCTGAAGTGGTGGACATGAAGTGTCCTCAGTGGACAGTAAAGACAGCAGAGGGAATTCCAGAGGGAACCGTGGCCTTGGGCATGAACGTCAACAGGAAGGTGGGAAGCTTCCCAGGGATGTTTTTCCTGGAGTTGAAGTCTCTCTCCCCTCCCATCTGAACTGGGAAGTGGCTTAGCCAGGCCCTGCAGCTTGTGCGCATTTCCCTCTCTTCCTGTTCGCAGCGGCCCCTGGACATCCAGAGCAGATATGCCATGTCAGAGTCTTTGGTAAACATCTTTGATCAGTGACTTACACCTTTAAGAAAGGTTATTTTGTCTCAAATGATCTTTAAATTGTATTTTAAAGACACAACCCATTTTCTTAGAATACTGAGTTAATCATGTACAGGCACAGTGAATTTTGTGGCATTTCCAAATGTTTGATATTTTCATAGTTAGAACCCTAGTTTCTTAGAAGTTTGGAGGCATTCTTATAGCTATCACCATTATTAGTGCTGAAGTGGCTGGTTAATGACTTTTCCTGAGTTTTGTTGGTGATGGAAACCTTTTCATTAACAGTATGGTGAAGTAATAGTTTTAAGTGGGATGAGAGGCACTTTTGAAGATACAAATCTTAAAATGTGACCCAGAAAGGATGCTGCAGAAAATGCTCACTAAAAGAAACAAAACAAAAATAAAAACAAGAATAGCAGATGCTAAACTTCACTTTCCCAAGATTTAACAATGGCCAAAAGATCCATTGGAAGTACAGAGGAGGGGAGCTATTTGGGACATCTTTTTAAAATGAATCCTTCAGGCTTCTTCATGGGTTTAACTTCTTGACAGTGGGACTGGCAGAAAGTGCATCTATTAAGCAAGGAAGATTTAAGTACATTCTGCAACTTTGGCCTTGTAAGCTGTGATCATTTTTAAGGTTGACGAGCATAGTTCACTATGAAATGAAGCAAGGAACTTGGCATTTATACATTGTGAGTCAATTTTGACATCAGCCTGGATTGGGAATTGACTGGAAGGTTTTTGGGGTTGGACTGTGGCTGTGCTTCAGTGTCTCGATCCAGAGGCATGCATGAGCAATACTTCCCTTTGGGCTTTGGCCATTAATTTGTGGAATGGAGCAAGAACTGGAGAGGAAAATTGAGAAGACTGCCTTGGATTTCCTCACGTCCTGTTGAATAAAAAAGCAGTGGGAGGCCCTTTCCTTCCTGACAAAGGCCCCATCCCTTCACACGAAATTCCCAGCATCTGTCTCCATGTTCGGGACAGCCCCTCTTGAACCCATACTTGAAATCATCGGTCACCCCTGGGTGAGTATCTGCGTTCTGCCTATTCCAGGTGTTTTCCAGGCCACTTCCCCTGATTATGTAACTTTCTTTGATCAAATCCAGATGCTTGCAGAATGCTTGATAGAAGAGGTCAAATGGCATTTGAGAAGAAAAGCATTTCTGTATTCATGACTTTGGTTTAATTTCCTGTATGGGCCTGGTCTGCCAAAGTTGCATTCTCATGGCCATGAGGTTGGGACACTAGAGGGAAATGAACAAATACTTTTTCGGGACAACTTGAGAAGATGTCCTCCTCCCCCAGTATATGTTTTCACATTAGATTATCAATTATATGAGCATCAGCTGGCTTGTATTTATAACAGTTTTCTATTTTTGTATTTTTTTATGATAAAAATCCAGATTCATTGTGAGAAATATGCCAAAATATAGGGAAAGAAAAAGAAAATTCTAAATGTTTGTAATCTCACCACCCTAACTACTTTTTAACTACTTTTTTTTTTTTTTTTTAATCTTCACTCGAGGACATTTTTCCATTTTTTGTTCAGATAGAGCAGGAGGGAGAGAGAGGAAGAGAGAGAGAGAGAAACATTGATGTGAAGGGACACATCTAGTGGCTGCCACCCGCACGACCAACCAGGGCCGGGGACAAACTGCAACCGAGGTACGTGCCCTTAGTGGGAACCGAACCCGGGTCTCTCTGTACTGCAGGCCGACGCTCCAACCGTTGAGCCAAACCGGCCAAGGCTTAACTACTTTTAATGGTACTGTTAACATACCAGCCTGAGTTAATTACTGTTCACATTTTGGTATTCCTTCTGGGTGTTTTTCAGTTTTCTCCAAAAATATTTTGAATGATTTTATGAGTATGTTCTATTTTATGAATGGGACCACAAACTAACTTTTCTTGTGTTGATAAATATTTTGTACTTCTCCTTTATGTGTTGCTCTTTAAAAATCAGTATATGCTGCCTGGCTGATGTGTCTCAGTGGATTGAGCGTCCTCCCGTGGACTGAGAGCTCCCAGTTCAATTTCAGTCAGGGCACATGCCCGGGTTGCGGGCTCCATCCCAAGTAGGGAGCGTGCAGGAGGCAGCTGATTGATGTTTCTCTCTCTCATCAATTTTTCTCTCTCTCTTTCCCTTCCTCTTTCTAAAAAATCAATAAAAACATTTTTTTTTAAAAAAACCTTTAAGAAATTATCTTTGCCCCTGTGATTCATAAGGTGGAATTACCAAGCATAGTAATGACATAATTTGGGACGTACTGTTTTAGAAAAACAATTCCTGAAGGTTTACTTCAAGTCAGTAGTACAAAAGCTAGAATTGAAAGACGTTCGTTATTTATGTTCTCTTGGTTTATTTCAGAGAGATATTTTAAAGACTGTCCACATCTGAAAGTTCTCCGGTCATGTTTCTGGAAGTTGAGCTAAGTCCTGATCTCAGATGTCTTAGGTACCTCCAGTGGGTTGTTGTTTTTTAAATTGCTGCAGAATCTGGTGCCTCCTTAAGATGCGTGTTATTGCCCAAGAAAAGATATTTGGGTGTCTAAATCCATAAAGAAAGGAAATTAAAACAATTTTTTTTGTTACCATTTAGGTTCGGCTTAAGCATTGGTAGATCCCTTCATGCTTTTCAAATTAGAATTTCCTCCTTAAAAAAAAAAGTTTGATTTCTTACTGTAGTTTCTTTAAATTAGTATTCATATTTCATTCCATAATACTCGTACAACTGTTAAGATCTACATGGTGTGGATTTGCTGGTTTCAAAAAAATTCTTGTGCATATCTGTCATTATCACAGAGAAATGCTAGAGCGTTTGAGCATAGTTCAAGAAAAAGAAAAGCAAGAAGAAACTTCAGGACAAACTAATGAACTGTTTGACCCGTGGTGACTAATAGTGAAACATTCCTAATATAACAGATGTTGATTGGTTTTCAACCTTTAGAATCTACCTAAAGGCAAAACATGAAAAATTTAACTGTTACAGAATAGAAGACACTTGTTAACTTTCACAAGGTAAAAGAAAGAGTAAAGAAGGCTCTCTTTGAGGATGAGCATAGAGAGGGAAGCTGGAAGGAAGGTGAGGATGCTAACATACTTGTGAAATAGATGGTTGAGAGATACTGTCTCTAGCTGGCAGAACAAGAAATAAAGGTGTTAGTCTGTTACCAAAAATACAAAGGTAACCAGCAGAGGATAGTGCAGGTAGGGGTGCAGGATATAGTGGTAAAGCTTATGTTCAGAGATGGAAAGGATCACCAAAAAAAGAGCTGTTGCTTCGAGGTATAGAGGAGAGGGGGTGGAAAACGTTTGTCTTTCATTATAAGCCTTTCTGTACGTAATATCTGATTTTTAAATTATGTGCATATGTTAACTTTGATACATTTAAAAATGTTTTAAAGCAAGAAATTTTCCCTCCATATTATAACATAAAAGCAGTGGCGGACTTATGAGGATAGACTATTTCCATTTCTAACTGAATTAATTTTGAATTAATGAATTTAAATGGCTTGACCTATTTGGGAACACCATCTTGGGATGCAGATACTTAGTGTTTTTCACAAGATTTGGGAAGAGAAGAGTCCCATTTTCTGTACCACCTTTCTTCTTGATCTATAATGTGCACAGGTGTTAAGAAACAAAATAGCCCTGGCCGGTTTGGCTCAGCGGTTAGAGCGTCGGCCTGCGGTCCTGAGAGACCCGGGTTCGGTTCCCGCTAAGGGCGCGTACCTCGGTTGCAGTTTGTCCCCGGCCCTGGTCGATTGTGCGGGTGGCAGCCACTCGATGTGTTCCTTTCGCATCGATGTTTCTCTCTCTCTCTCTGTTTCTCTCTCCTTCCCACTCTACCTGAACAAAAAATGGAAAAATGTCCTCGGGTGAGGATAAAAAAAAAAAAAGAAAGAAACAAAATAAATCAGGAGTGCGTAATGTTGGAAATACAAACTTTTTACTCCTGAGGATAAAATTAAGTTTTTTTCCCTAATTCTTCTTTTTTTCCCCTCTATTTCTCTTCCAGAAGCCCTCCAAAGGCCAGTAGCATCTGACTTCGAGTCCCAAGGTCTGAGCGAAGCAGCTCGTTGGAACTCCAAGGAAAACCTTCTCGCTGGTCCCAGTGAAAATGATCCCAACCTTTTCGTTGCACTGTATGATTTTGTGGCCAGTGGGGATAACACGCTAAGTATAACTAAAGGTAAAAGGACTGTGGGCAGCAGGTGATAGTTGTAAGAGCCAGAAATTGGGGGGGACTGTGGCTTGATTGTTCACTCCTTTGCTGATTAAAAGAGCAGATTTAAAGTTTGGAATGCACAGATATTAAAAAAATAACAGCATCTTTATAAGAGGATCACTTTTCTTGCGAAGAGTTTCTGTATAGTAGTCCTTTGCAGAAACAGAACTTTCCTTATTTTATACTGAAAAAGACACCGGGACCAAACACAGAAAACACTTTTTTTTTTTTAAGAAAAAATATTTTTTCCCTAAAAAGCTTCCTTGTATTAGGAACAGAACACTTGAATAAATAAAACATAACAGATTTATAAAAACTGAAGCTATATATGTATCTCTGTTTTCAGTACAAACAGGAAATTTTATATAAAATGTACTCGTATACACTTAAAATGCATACATCTATGTGGACTTGTTAAAATTAAGTAGGTATTTAGGAATTTGGAGATTTTTAGCAATCATACAAGAGTAAGTGAGAATGAGTGAATTAGCCCTTGAAGCTGATGTGTCTGATTTGGTTCTTTTCTTTTAAGGTGAAAAGCTCCGGGTCTTAGGCTACAATCACAATGGGGAATGGTGTGAAGCCCAAACCAAAAATGGCCAAGGGTGGGTCCCAAGCAACTACATCACACCCGTCAACAGTCTGGAGAAACATTCCTGGTACCACGGGCCTGTGTCCCGCAATGCTGCTGAATACCTGCTGAGCAGCGGGATCAACGGCAGCTTTCTGGTGCGGGAGAGCGAGAGCAGCCCCGGGCAGAGGTCCATCTCACTGAGATATGAAGGGAGGGTGTACCACTACAGGATCAACACTGCGTCTGATGGCAAGGTAGGGACCCCGGGGGGGGGAGCTGATGAATGGATAAGAGGGGTAGTCTTTGACCAGGAGAACCCAGAGGTCCTACTCCTGGGTTGATAAGTCATTACCACAAAGCTCAAACCAAGATGTTTGAAGAAGCTTTCAACTAAACAACGGGCATCAATTTATTAGCCTTATGAAAGACCCTCCTTTGAGTACCAGTCACATGGTATTATAAGGGCTGGTGTGGATCTCTAATTGTCCTGCTGGACTTTTGTTGTTAGCAGTTTCATAAGATAAATGGAGTACCTGTTGGGTTTTATACATTACTCTTACATTAAGACTCTTCTTTAAAAAAAAAAAACAAAAAAAACTTTCACGATAATAATTTATCCTCATTGAGAAAAGTTCAGACAAAGATGATAGAAGTGAGAAGCCACCTTAATAGCACCTCCCCAAATAAGTCTGGTACATGGCCCTCTTCCTATGGATACAAAATGGGATCCCTTTATACCGTAGATTTCCAGACCCAAACTGTAGTTTGTACAGAAGTTGATATAGTGTATGATTTTGTGATCTTCATATAAAGGTAGTGAACATTTACTGAGTTCCTACTGTGTGCTGGGCATTTTTCCATCTTCATCTCATTTAAACTTCACCTCGGCCAGTCTTAAGGATGGACATTGCTGTAATCTGCATTTAGGCATTAAGGAATGGATGTTCAGAGGGATGACATTTCTTGCCCAAGATTACATATTGAGTAATTGGCTGCGATCCCACTGTCCATTCTGCTGCACTGCACTGTTCTTGAGGGTATGTGGATAGGTGGAGGGGGTGGGTCCAGACGGTGCATGGGTTCTTTGATAGTATGTAGTGCATGCACATAGTTTGAAAACATGAACCAGTGAAAAGTAATTCTGTCTCCTAATTTAGTGCCCTGCCCAGAGCCAACCTCTTTAACCAGTTTCTTCCAGAGTTTCCTGATGTGCATATGTTTGCATTTTTAAAAACCCACGATTCGAACCGCACACTGTTCTGCCTCTTGCTTTTCCCACCTGATAATATATTTTGGACACTGTTTATGGCGGCACATTTAAAGCTGCCTCACCCTTCTTAATGATGCCTAGGGTGGACGGATCATCCTTTATTTAAGCAGTCCCTGCTGGTGGACGTTTAGGCTGTTTCCAATCTTACGCTGTTTATAAACTGTGCTCTTCTCACATGGCTTTCAAAACTTAAAAAATATCTTGGCCTGCTATAAAAAAAATCATTTTACATCACCACCCAATACTCATATTAGTAACAAAAGGTTCGTGAAATCATGCTTCTACTATAGGTAATGCAATCTGATATTTTGTATTCTGTTCTGTTTCATTTTTTAAAAAAATTCTGATCATAATCCACTAAATAGCCTTCATAGACCCCTTGGTGGGTCATGCCCTGCAGTTTGGAAATGTAGTGCACATGCTTATTTGTGTACAGTGAAGGATATGCAAGGTAAGTTGCTAGAGCTGATGGAAGATTTAGTGTATTTAAATTAGTGTAGTTATCACCCAGTTACCTTCTGTGGAAATTGTACACATGTGTTTTCTTACCAGCAGTCTATGAGAGTGCATGTTTCCTCTCCCTCAGCAGCCTGTTATCAGACTTGTGCAAACATCTCTCACTGGTTGGTAAAGCTGGTATCTTGTTAGGATTCATATGCATCTGTTGTATTTTGAGTGATCCCTGTGCCATTTACTAAATTCATCTTTTCTTTCATATTTGAAATATACCAAGTTTACATAGGTATTTAGGTCTGTTGATCTCTCTCTCCTGTTCCATTGGTCTATGTATGTATGCCAATATCAGACTTTTAATTTGTAATGGCTTTATAATGTTCTAATATCTGGTAGGGTTTGTCCCCTGTTCTTAATCTTTTCAGTATTTTTATGCCTATCCTCCTGTTCATTTGTACCATCCATACAAATGCATATAAAATATATATAGATTTGATGTTCTCATCTGTTTTTTTTGCATGTGTTAGAGTCTTTTGACCAAAGTCTTGTGCTTGCCATCATGGCAGGTATCTTTGTACCAGCACTGTGATTTGTCCAGCAGACAGCATAGTCTGTGGTTTATGTGACTAGAGATCAGCCTCCTCGGCTTGCTTTTCGGGTCTTATCCCAGATGCGGAGCTAGATCCTTCCATTCTGCAGGATGTATTCCAGGGCAGTGGGCCCTTTGAAACCTTGCCTTCAGACCACAAGGGGGCCTTTTTTAATGCATTAGAACATTAGAGTGCACCTGAAGGAGGTGATTTCCTGTAGCTGACACATTGCTTCCCATCTGTGCTGCTGATCCAAGGCAAGCCATGCTGCCCAGCGGTCATCAGTTGAGGTTTGTATTGAATCAGGTGGTGGTCTCTTTTCCCTGGAGTTGTTTAATCAGCATCCTTGCAGACAGATGCAGGTAGGCACGATCTAGTTTGACAGCTCAAAGGGAGAGAGCAGGGCCTACGTGTAGGATGAATGATTTGCAGAATTTGAGAGTCAGCCAATGAAGACAAACCCCTCAGTCTAAAAGCTGGTGTGTGCCAGGGGTTCCTTCCTTTCACTCCAGGTGGAGCACAGGAAACTCATTTGATCAGGCACTGTCCACCACCGGCAGCTAATCAAAGTGTCCTGGGCCTCTTGCCCTTCTCCCTCCCTGATGGAGACCCCTCCCCCTTTCAGCTGTTTAAGCACCTGGAGACTTCTAGGCCCACAGGGTCATTGGGCATACCATCTGTGGAGGCTCCTGTCGATGAGGGCCACACTTCAGGGGCTGTGTGGGTGGGGTCCTGTTCCTGGACTGAATGCAATGGCACCGCATGGGGAGGTGTCACAGGGACACATGAGACAGTGTGGCTTGGCACTGACAAAGCCGCTCATGGCAGAGCTTTGATGCAGTCCTTTTTGGATTTCTGAGAAGAAAATGTAAGGTTGGTAGGAGGGCCAGGCTGAGGTTGATTAAGTTTAATTCTTAGTTTCAAATTAGCTGATCTTTAGAAAACAACTGAATTTCAAAGATTCTTCTATGAGACCCCAAAGGGTTTCTTACTGTCTCCACCCCTTGGCTCTGGTTTCCGTCTCCCTGCATGTTCTGAGCTTCAGCAGCAGTGGTAGCCAGGCAGCTGGGGCCACAGCTCGGGGCCCAGGGCCCAGACTTGGGGTTAGAGCTTGACTCGAAAGAGCCACACCAGACTGAGCACTGCTGCTTCCTAAGAGTCTTGACAACTTAAAACTCTTCAGATACCCTGGGATGGCGATGTCATTCTTCCACGCTTTCTCAAAATTTGCGATCTTCTGCCAACATAGCTGAATTAAAGACTGATTTTCATCTACCACCCCCTGCCAAATCGTTCTTAGTTCTTCTCGTTACATCTACACTTCACTTCACTTCTGTGAGGTGCCCCTGTCAAGTTCCACAATTTCTTATAGCCCTTGATGGAGTCTCTTCTTTTCTTCTAAGAGGTGTCCAGGTGACATTTCTTCTCTCAGTCTGCTGAAGTGGCAGGTTCGGGTTGACAGGAGTGGAATTTGGATTTAAGCTTTAGCAGAGGTGGCAGGATGGGCCATCTGTGTAATTTCTAAAATTTTAAGATTTACACACTAGGACAGTGGCTCCGAGGTACAAGCATCCCAGTGAAAAGCCTGCTAGAACCTGGCTGACCTTCCCTTCCAGAGGAGACTGGGAGCATTAGTAAACACTGCTAAATTATTAAGTGCTGCCTTGCTGCTGGTGTGCGAGGTGCTCTCGGGGGATGGCGCTCCTGGCCGAGAGCCTGTAAGCAGTACATCCAAGGTGGGGCTCCAGGGTCTCAGGCAGCTAAAGGGTACACAGTCTGAGCTCTGATAAGTCTGAGTGTTGAGTTCCTTTGACAAGTCCTGTCTTTCGGGTTCCTGCGTGATCAGGAAGAGGAACAGTCCTGGCTGAGCACCCAGAGCGTTGATGTGACCGGCTGCATAGCATAATGACATGCCATTCATAATGCTAATCTCACTTTCTTCTCTGAGCGTGCCACGCATTCCTGATGGAGATTAGCTGGTTCACCAGCAGAAGCTGCTCAGGAATGAGAACTAATCAGGATGCCATCCGTTCTTGACTGTTAGAAGATGGCTGTGCAGTGCATTTAAGGGAGAGTAATTTTAATACTTAGTGTCAGTATATAAATTTTATGTTGAAAGATGAACTGAGTCCTAGGGTTGTAAACTTAATTATTGAAAAGAGTGAAGTTTGCCCATTCATTGAAATCTCCCATAACTCTGAAATGTCTAACCAAGGGGCCTATGAAGGAATCAAATGAGACCAAGAACAAATTCTACATAAACTAGGGCTTAGGGAGCCATTAGCCTTCTGTGTGATTGAAGGGACATGACCTCCAGGCTGGGAAGCGCTCCTTCAAGTGGAGGCGGAGAGACAGGTAATGAGCCTTGCTCCCAGGTGGCCTGCCTGTGCGGTGCCAGTGATTTCCGGCAGCACTCTGACCCCAGGGAGTGCCTTCCTGGAATGGCTCTCTCTCCTCAGCACTCCTTGTAGGGAGGGCACTGTCCCCTGAGCTAACCCAAGAGAAGAGTACTGGAGCATCACAACCTAAAGTGAAGTATTTGGACACTGGCAGACTTTTCCAGAGGGAGGTGGAAGAGCTGTCCCCACGGCCCACTTGGTCTTTGTGAAGTGCACTTGTGTCGGGACTAACCCTGACAAGGGTTCTGCGCATGCTAAGGGCAGACTCAGCAGTCTGACTGGGCTCCCAACCCGCCAACACTGCATGTGTTCAGGCGCCCGAGCGTGTCGCACAGCCTGTCCCTTGTGCGGCTCACTTTGAGGTTTCTCCTTGGTGCTCTCAGGCATAAAAGTGGGGCTTTCTGGGGGGCCTCCTCCCCACACTCAAAGGTCCTGCCATAGTTTGCCACTGGCTTGCCTGAGTTTTAACAATTCATTTTTGTCCTTTCCCCAAGCAGCAAAAAAAAAAAAAAAAAAATCTTGTTAATGAATCTTATTTACCCTGTTGAGGATTATAGAAGGGATCAACTTGTATATTTGTTATTATTTCCTTTTTTAAAAATATTGAATTATCTGCTATCACAGCATATAGAAAGTAATGGAGCCTGCCATAACCAGCAGCAAGGCCTTGGCCCTGCCATGTGTGTTTTAGGCTTTTTCTTCCCCCCTTTTTTAAATGAGGTATTACAGTAACAGCTGATTGGTCTGCTCCTCTTTCTCCCTCCCATCCCAGCATCATCACTTCCAGGTCTGTATATCTCCTTCGCCTTTGCAATTGGAGCAAATCTTATGAACACCTAGTTGAGATTTTGAGTATTCTTTCTACCTTCTTCAGGATTGTGGTTTCAGTTATGTGCCTGGTGCCTACTTGTTCTGTGAGAATCTTCATGTGGAATTGATTCCCTCACCACATCACTGAAACAAACAAAAGAAAAAAGACAGCCGTCACCTTCCTTTGCCTCCCCCTCCCCTCTATTGTGTCTAGATGAGAACTTCTCGTGGAGGGTTCCCTGCACAGGTGCTCACTACAGTCCACCTCAGAGAGAGACTCGTGCACTTATGTCCAAAAACCTTCTGACCTCCCTGTGTGGGAAAGCCTGTGGGCCTCCAGCCCTGCAGGGGGGCGCTGTTCTCCGAGAGTGCGCCGCGTGGCCTGCTGCTGGGCCTTGCAGGTCCTGGGTCCGAGCTTCCTACTCGGCCTGAATCGAGGAAGCAGGAGTGAGAAGGACCATTTATGCTTTGTTTAGTAATTTTCATCTCAGATCATTGTTTGGTTCTAGATAATTATATAATTATAGGTGATGATTGGTTTTTGTAAGTATAATTTTTTTTTTTTTTTTTTTAATTTTCTGCACTGGCCAGTTTGGCTCAGGGATTAGAGCGTTATCCCATGGACCAAAAGGTCACAGATTTGATTCAGGTCAAGGGCACATACCTGGGTTACAAGTTTGATCCCCAGCCTGGGTCGGGTCATTCGGGAGGCAACCAGTTGATATCTCTCTCTCTCTCTCGCTCCTTCCTCTCTCCCACTCTCTCCCTTCCACTCTCTCTAAAGATCAGTGGGAAAATATACTCAGGTGAGGATTAACACAAAAAAAAATTTTTTTCGCCCTGGCCACTTTGGCTCAGCGGTTGAGTGTCGACCTGCAGACCAGAGAGGTCCCAGGTTCGGTTCCTGCTAGGAGCACGTACCATAAGACAAAAAAATTTTTTTTCCAATCAGCAATACTTTTTAAGTTCTATTCTTCACTACTGTAATGAACAACTATTATGTGCTCACTTCTTGTTCTCAACATTAGGATACAGGATAAAAATGGATAGTTTAGGGCTTTGCTCTCATATAGCTGACATTCTAGTAGGTGGAGACAGACAATGAAAAGCTGAAAAAATGGAGTTATCAGTTAATGGTAAGTATGGTGCAGAGAAGTAAGACAGGTGATATGACTAGTGCTAGGTGATGACTTTAGATTGGGTGTTCAGGGAAGACTTCAAGGAAATTTACACTGGGCTCAGGATGGTAAGAGGGAACCAGGCATGTGAGGATTAGGTAAGTGGAGAATTTTAGTCCAGGGAAGCAGCAGATGCAAAGGCCCTGGGGCATTTTATTGCATCTTTCTACTTTAGCAAGTACATTATAGCATGTGTAGCACTTCGTTCTCTGTGGAGAGCTGTTTATCTGAGGTTTTGCTATGCATTAAATTAAGGCCTGGCAAAGCTGGTTTATTGGAATTGAGTTTGCATTTGCTCTGTGGGCTGAAGGCTGTTCCGGTTTTCCTCAGCTCTACGTCTCCTCAGAGAGCCGCTTCAACACTTTGGCCGAGTTGGTTCATCATCACTCAACTGTGGCAGACGGGCTCATCACCACTCTCCATTATCCAGCCCCCAAGCGCAACAAGCCCACTGTCTACGGTGTGTCCCCCAACTACGACAAGTGGGAGATGGAGCGCACGGACATCACCATGAAGCACAAGCTGGGAGGAGGCCAGTACGGGGAGGTGTACGAAGGCGTGTGGAAGAAATACAGCCTGACGGTGGCCGTGAAGACCTTGAAGGTAGGCCCGGGACCACCCTGTCGGGCGTCTGCTTACAGCCTCCTCTGCTCTCGATGCCTCAGTGAGATGCGGTTCGCTGTCTGCTGCTGTGCAGGATGCCCCTTGCCAGGCAGCCTGCCTTCTGCACACAGGTCCGAGGGGTTGACTGTTCAGTCTCTTGTCGTCTGTTTCTTTGTATGTCGAGTCATTCTCAATCTCTGTGTGTTTCCACATATGGCAAGAACGGAGAAGTGCTGTGGTTTTGGGTGTAAAAAGATTAGTCATTTGGAGAAGTTTTTCATTCTATGGCAAAAGCCTTTTAAAGTCGTGAGTTTCCGTTCTGTATGTGTGGCGTTTGAATCACTTCCTACTGAGAGTGAAGGGAAGGAAGAAGTGAAATAAAAATCTTAAGTTTTGAAAGGAGATTTAACCAGTATTCGCTTGACATTTCTGTGGAGTTTTGTTGGCAGATTTGAAAGGCAAGTGCTGTTTATTTCCTAGCATGTTCCTGTTCTCTTTATTGTGTGTCATACTTCTGGAATTAAGGAAACATTAATTAAGGCTTCTTACTAACCCAGATCAGCTACCCTCCCCCCTTTTTTCTTGTTATCGATAACTTCCATCCTCTCAACTAGTGCATAATGTTTGGAGTTTCCACGCGGTTTGCTTCTCTTAAGTTCTTAGAAACCCTTAGATGCCGAGGGAACAGTTTTCATTTGCAGCCTTCTTCCCAGTGTGATCTGTGCCTTACCTATGGCAAGAGTGTCCCCTAGTGTTGACCTGCATTATTTTCACTTGTTTTAAGTGAACTGACTCTGCGAACGTGTGCGCAGTTGAGAGTGAGCCCCTTTTTGTAGCTAAAGAAGAAGAACCGAAACATCCAATGCTGGAAAAGCAGACCTGTGTATGCTTCTCGAAAGCCAGTCAGGTTCACGTAGTGAGACCCATGCAGCCAAAACGCTCATCTTTTAGGGACTTGGTCACTTCTCTGATGCTTCACTTAGAGGTGCAGTAAAGCGGAAATTACGATTTCTGGCTAATGTAAAGTACACTTTGGAGAAAAGATCATATTCTTTAGTCCTAGCAACCAAAGGAGGCTTCCTGGCACTATACTAAATGTGTCCCCTTAGCTCTGTCCTTGGGGCATGGCTTGGGGCCACCTTGAGGACTCCTGGGTATTTTCCAGATGGGATTTTTGTTTTAATTTAATTTTGCCTGGCTGGTGTGGCTCAGTGGGTTGAGTGTTGTCCCATGCACTGAGAGGTTGCCAGTTTGATTCCTGGTCAGGGCATATGCCCAGGTTGTGGGCTTGATCCCCAGTATGGGGTGTGCAGGGGGCAGCTGATCCATGTTTCTCTCTCATCAGTGTTTCTGTCTCTCTTCCCCCTCTTCCCTCCTCTCTATCCAAAAAGTCACTAAAAATATTAATACAATTTAGTAAGTATTTGTTGAGTTCCTCACTTCTGTTTGCCAGACCCTGGGCTTAACACTGGGATTGTGAAAATGAATTAGAGTTCTTCACTTCAGGCTAATCTAAGTAATTAGAATAGTCTAGTTAGTAGTAGACCATCTAGTTAGTAGGAGAAATGGGCAAGTATAACAGTAATTGTAGTGCAGTTGAAAAGGGCCACATCAGGCACGAGCGTGGCACTATGTCACTTCACAGGAATGAAGGGAGGGGCTGGTGAGCTCTGCTTGGTAGGGAGAGAGCAGGAAGGGAGTCAGGAGCAAGGGCTGAAGTGGGGGAGCGAGAGTTGGCCAGGGGAACGAAGGCCAGGAGAGAGGTAGAGGACAGAGAGGGTGCAACAACGCAGGGCTTGACCCGGCTAGGAGCTGGGCTGTTGTCCTGGAGGCAGTGGGTTCCAGTGAAGGGCTGGATGCGCAGGAATATGCCGACAGATAGGATTTGCGTTTCACAGGGTGACTACCTCGGTGAGCCCTAGAAAGAACGAAATCTGCCCCTCTTCACAGACCAGGGAGTCCAGGGAGGGGCGTGTGCTTGTGCTGCAGCACCTCCATTTGGTGCACAGTTGAGGACCCGCCCAGAGACCCAGGCCTCGACCAACACATTTGCCAAATGAAACAAGGAAGCATAAAAGTACAAAATACATTAGGTTTCAATCCAGGCAAGACTTATTTGAAAACTTCAAGAAGAGGTAGAGCTTGTACAACTTGAAATGTGAAGAAAACCCGACCCAGTAGCTGAAGCTGTGATGGTGTTTCTGAATAACTAAAGGGAATTTCAGAGTAGGGACCTCCTGGAACTTGGCGGTGCTGGTGGATTCTTATACCAGTAAATTAGAATTGTCTGGAAGTGGGTGGTTTTAGAATATACTTCTCTAATGATTTATTTTTAAACTTCATTATATGCTTTTAATGATTTCCCTCAACAGCCTTATTAACTTATGGTCCCAAGTTATGGGATCTAGTTGCATGGAGTTCTGTGAGTAGTCACCCCAAGTGGTAGCCATTTAGGGAAAGGAAAATGCATCATCTTCTAGAGGGATGTTATCCTCAAACATGGTATTAAGTAACTACAAAATAAATGATCCCCGCCTGGCCGGTGTGGATCAGTGGGTGAGCATCAACCCCTGCACCAAGAGGTCACCAGTTCGATTCCCAGTCAGGGCACATACCCAAGTTGTGGGCCTGATCCCCCAGTGAGGGGTGTGCAGGAGGCGGCCAGTCGATGTTCTCTGTCATTGATGTTTCTATCTCTCTCCTTCTCCTTTCCTCTCTCTAAAGTCAATAAAGAAAAAAAAAATTTTTTTTTAATAATCTCTTCTTCCCCCTCACCCTGCACAAAAAACATCTCTATGTTCCCCACTTATCAGATAAGGTTAATATCAAAACTTTGAGCATTTGTCTCCACTGCAGAAGTAGGGAGCTTTGAGTGGGCTCCAAAGTGACAGTAATGGCTGATATTCATTGAGCTCTTACCATGTGGGCAGAGTTCTAAGTGCCTTGCTTGTAGCATCTTAGTTAAACCTCACAACTTGCAGAGAAGGGTAGTACTGTTACCACCATTTCAAGGTTGAGAAAAGCAGAGGAAGGTTAAGTAACTGGCCTAGAGTTGTACACCAGGAATGGCAGAGCCAGGCTATAAACCCAGACTTTCGGCTCCAAATTATGATCCCAGTTATTACTGTTTTGTCACTCAGGTTCTTATTTCTCATATACCATGAAAAATATATATAAACCACAGTTATACATCTTAAAAATCACTTTTTCCCCTCTCCCCTATTCACTTCCCTCACAGGCTATAGCCATGGTCTGCCTTTCTCTTAAGGGCTCCTTACAAAACCCTTGAAGCTCTAGCCCAGATGGTCATTGGCTTAGAGCCTCTGTGCCATACCCCCACTGGGCCCCTGAGTCAGTCATGTCTTGTCTGTCCATCTCCACCACCCCCCACCTCCCCCCTTCCTGCCCAATTTGTATTGCTAGCTCCTCTTTAAACCAGCAGGGGGGGCAAGGCCCTGCTTTTAAATTCGACTCCTTATTGAACCACTAGGCAGCCTCCTGGTGTTCTATTCCTTCAGGGCATGAGGAAGACCTAGAGAACATGGAAAAAAGAGGCACTAGGTTGACCCCTATGGATGGGAAACTGGAATTACAGCCAAGGCCCACCGATGGGGAACTGATAGTTTGAATTTTGACTTGACCCTTGTTAAAGGCAGGATGTGCCTAAGAGAATTAACTGTCAAATACAAAAAGCCCCAATTTTCGCCCTGGCCGGTTTGGTTCAGCGGTTAGAGCGTCGGCCTGCGGTCTGGAGAGACCCGGGTTCAGTTCCCGCTAAGGGCATGTACCTCGGTTGCGGTTTGTCCCCGGCCCTGGTTGGGTCGTGCGGGTGGCAACCACTCAATGTGTCCCTTTCATGTTGATGTTTCTCTCTCTCTCTCTCTCCCTCCCACTCTATCTGAATAAAATATAAAAAAAAAAAAAATTAAAAAAAAAAAAAAAAAAGCCCCAATTTTCATGAGCTGTGTTCCAAGTTAGTTTGTAAGTCAGTTTTCTCCTATGAAGTGGTTGTATAAGTTAATAGAATTTGGAAAAGACTATTGTTGGTGTAATTGTGGCATTAAGATTGAATCATAAGTTAACTGACTCGTTTACCATTAAAATAGAACAACGACTCTGGCCAGTTTGGCTCAGTGGTTAAAGTGTCAGCCCGCGGACAAGAGAGTCCTGAGTTCGGTTCCCACTAAGGGCATGGACCTTGGTTGCAGTTTGTCCCCACCCCAGTTGGGGTTGTGTGGGTGGCAACCAGTCAGTGTGGCTCTCTCACATCGATGTTTCTCTCTCCTCTCTCCCCCCCCCCTCTCCCTCCCGCTCTATTTATCTGAAGATAAATGCAAAAAATGTCCTCAGGTGAGGATAAAAAAAAATAGAACAACATAACTTTGTTATAAAATGTTGACTTAAAATTGTACCCAGTTTTGGACCTGACCAGTTTCGCTCAGTGGTTAGAGCATCAGCTCTCGGACTGAAGGGTCGCAGATGTGATGATATCTGGTTCGGAGCATGTACTCTAGCTGCAGGTTTGATCCCCGCCTCTGGTTGGGGTCGTGTAGAAGGCAGTCAATCAGTGATTTCTCTCTCTCCCCCTCCCTGCCTGCCTCCTGCTTCCAAAACGAGCAGAGAAGGCAGGCTCCCTGGCAGCACTAACACCGGGCAGTGCACACAGTGGCGCCGACTTCGCTCGGGGGGCTGTGCTCCAGGGGAGGCCGCGCAGCCCAGGACACGGGCCCTGCTGCGCTCGGCCTTGCAGTGGCGTCTCCGGCTGTGGAGCTGATACAGTGGCAGCATTTGGGGATCAGCGTTCTAGGCTCCCTCTGTGATGTAGTTTCTCATGGAATTTTCGTTGGACTTCAAGTCCCACATCTGGTTTGTGGACCACCCTGCTCAGTCGAGCTCAGAAAACAGCTTTCCAGTGTTTTAAATGTGCTGACCCTGGTCCAACTGATGGGTGAAGGGCAGGACTTCCTGTGGTTGTAACCTTGCTCACCGAACATTTGGGTAAGAACCGGCGATGTCGGACACTGATCTCAGACGAAGCCCTGACGCAGGGCCAGGGTCCCCGCCGAGAGCGAGGCAGCGGGCCCTGAGAGCTGCGCCGCAGCGGCAGAGTGTGGAGCAGTTCCAAAGAGCGACGTTCTCTCTCAGGACGCAGAAGAGCTGCTCTTGGAGGCGAGGCCAGTGAGCACACAGATGAAGCTGGTTAGAATATGCTGGTGAGCCCTGGCCGGTTTGGCTCAGCGGTTAGAGCGTCAGCCTGCGGTCCGGAGAGACCCGGGTTCGGTTCCCGCTAAGGGCACGTACTTCGGTTGCAGTTTGTCCCCGGCCCTGGTTGGTCGTGCGGGTGGCAGCCACTCGATGTGTCCCTTCACGTCGATGTTTCTCACTCTCTCTCCCTTCCTCTCTCTCCCTCCCACTCTATCTGTACAAAAAATGGAAAAATATCCTCGGGTGAGGATAAAAAAAAAAAAAAAGAATATGCTGGTGAGATGTGGGGTCCGGGAGGATGTATATGAGAAAGGCTAAAAAATTGTATTAAGTAATCAGCCCATCTTTCATGCAAGCAGTACATTTAGACTGCTTCTCAGGAGTAGAGATCAGCTGTCTTCACAATGATGACATGAGTTCTGCTCATGGAGTGCTGACCGTGGTCTGGGCGAGACGTCTGGCACTTGGTGCATGAAGTGAACACCGCTGCTTTTTCCACCTGGTAGATGAGAAAACGGCAGGTCGGAGATGACCTCCATGTCACCTGTTCTGTAAGTCTCCCCATGGTCGGACAGTGGCAGAGCCTGGTTGACATAGCTCGCCAGTCGTCCTCTTACCCTCTCGGCTGTACCAGCAAAAGGTGCACCCACATCTGGGCTAGACCAGTCGGTCCTTATGAAGAGAGGTTAGGTGACCCATCTCCCTCCCTAACAGCCAAGCCTGAAATTCACAGCTTTTACTCAAAGTGTTACCTTCGCACTAATTAATCTGAGTTAGTTTTATTTTACTGTGTAAAAATGGAAGAATTCTCTTCAAAAACATAATGGAAATTTAAAAAATAGAAGTGAAGGAATGTAACAGGATAGCATCAGAGGTATTTCTAGTTCAACACAGCTGCACGTAGTATGCCGTTAGCAGTTTTCATTATAAATTGAACCAGGTCTGATTCCAGCAGGGGGAGACAAGTTCACACCAATTGTCCTGAAAGGAAAAAAACCCCAGTGATTTATGTGTACTGCCTACATGTGTGCATGCATGGGTGTGAATGAAAGGAGAGAGAAAGACAGGCAAAAAGAGGAGGATGCCTTTGAAAGCTGTATTCTTCGTGCGTGTCCAAGTCTCAAGATCTAGGACACGGTTCTTTTAGAAAAGCCAAGTGGTGTTTCTGAAATGAGTTCACTGCGTGGTTTATTATGTGGTGCTTTAAAATCGAAAAACTCCACCTGTCTAGAAAACTTAATGGGAGAGCTAGTTTTGAACATATTCTTGGCCAGGCAAGATTCTTAACGCCCCTGGTTCTTACCTGAGCGGCATTGAGTCCCTCGTTTCTGGCAGGGGTTCACTCTCCTGCCTTTGACATTAGCGTGTTACCCTAGTAAATCAGAGCTTCACACCCAGACGGCATGGTCAGCTGAGCACGGTAAGGAGCAGAGAGGACTCGGAAGAATTCAACAGCCAATGGGCAGGCTGCAGGGAGGAGTCCTTTTCCCCCACAGAGACTACCAGTGATGTTTAATTGATATTTACAACAGCTCGCCATTTTTAAAGAGCAATAAATTGTTTCTTCTAAGTTTCAGTCTCGTAGAGCCATAAGCAAAGGGATAATAATGGGCTGACACATAACTCATTGGTCATGCTTCGCTTGTAAACATGGTAGACCAAAGCGAGAAAGTGCTAAGAAAGGTTGACTTGTCCTCTGGCAGTCTTCCCAAGGGAATGGTGCAGCCAGGTGAGTGCTACAGCAAGGGCACTTTAGGTCTTTGTCTCCCAGAGGGCAGGACAGCGCATAAAGCTTTCCTCCTGGGGAATCTAGTCTTCAAGAAGTCACTCCCCATCTCCTGTGCGCACGCTCTCTTCAGAAAAACCCAAACGCCGTGTTGAAACTTGGAGGGTGATGTCTTGCTTCCCTCATTGGCCTTTATGGCCAGGTTCTCACAGCAAACAGACCATGTCCTTTACCACCACCTGCTTCCTGTTTTGAGGACAGTGTTCTCCAAGTCAAAAAGAAGTTTACCCAACATAAATGGCAGCAAGGCCCTCGTGTGACGGCTACTGTGGGGCCAGTGCCACAGCACGCGGGCCAGAGCCCAGAGCAGCGATGTTCAACCGTTTTCAGCTCATGGCACAAACTAATTACTAAAACTCTGGTACACCAAAAAATACATTTTTCCCCCGATCTGACCAAAAAAACCCTACAAAATAGGTATAATTTTTATTCATTCACACCATACGGCTATTGTTGTGTTGACCACTGTTATTTTTTTAAATTAATTTTATTTTATTTTTTATCCTCACCCGAGGACATTTTTCCATTTTTTGTTGAGACAGAGTAGGAGGGAGAGAGGAAGAGAGAGAGAGAGAAACATCGACGTGAAAGGGACACATTGAGTGGCTGCCACCCGCACAAACAACCCAGGGCCAGGGACGAACTGCAACCGAGGTACGTGCCCTTAGCAGGAACCAAACCCGGGTCTCTCTGGACCACAGGCTGATGCTCTAACCGCTGAGCCAAACTGGCCAGGGCAGCTGTTGTTATTTTTTATTTGACAGTCTAAGAGAAAAGAGATCAGTGCCCCTGACTAAATAGTCAGGTATTGCATGTTGTAAAAATTCTTGCACACTGGTTGAAAATCGTTGGCCTAGACTCAAAATATGTGAGGGGGTGCAGAAGTAGCATGTTCCTCTGGGCATCTGCTAATATCTGTGTCTCCCCTCGGCGTTCAGATACTGAGAACTTGCTGCCAAGAGCTCATGACTTTGGGGGAACTGCTCGTGAGAACAGTTTTAGAATGAGTGGTTGACCTGACACACAGCGGTGACTGCTTCATTGAGAGCCTGTGACTGCACCTTAGGCAGTTGCACATCTTCTGTTCCTGCCCTGTTTTGAGACATCGTTCTTTGGTAATCCAGTATCTTTTTGTATCATTAGGATCTCTTCCCTTAAATCGGGTGCATTTGGGCTTCCTTGAAAACTAGCTGTTCCTTAGGGAAATAGTAGTACTGTGTCTGTGGCGTTCGCCTGTATCCATCTCTCTCACCCCACAAACTCCACAAGGTAATGGAAACAGATACAGTCTGTGTAGCAGCCAGCCCTGATGTATTGCCCTGGGGGAGAATTCAAGAGCTCAGCACCAGAGGGGAGAATTTGTGCTGTTGAGGTGATGCTCGACTGCCAGGGAACCTGTCCAGAGCAGTGTGATGGTCGAAACTGGTTTACAAAAATGATTGTTCATCAACGCTCCAACTCGTACTGACCATGTCCTTTACCACATGAAAGTTCATGTTGTACTTTCCCACTTAACCACATTCCTTGCTGAAATAATTGCACCACTTTTTTTCCTGCAGGAGGACACCATGGAGGTAGAAGAGTTCTTAAAAGAAGCCGCAGTGATGAAAGAGATCAAGCACCCTAATCTAGTACAGTTACTTGGTGAGTGTGTGCAGCTCTTTTAATGAAACCCTCTGGGTGGCACAGGTGCTATTAAAGCAGAGACGAGTGGCTGGTTGCATTGAGAGTTCCCATTTGGACTTCTGTTCTCTGCCGGCATTCAGCCGTTGGTAAAGGAGGCCTATGTGGTAGTGTGTGTTGGGGGTGGGGTGGGGTGGAGTGAAAGAGAATGTTATTATTTTAAATTGATACCTAAAAGCAGTCAAATCTCAGATTGGCTTCTGAAATTTTTAATGTTTCTTCACTGAAGTGATTCTATAAGTAGATGTAACCATCAGACATAACCATTGTGGGGTAAAATAACAGTGATTCAGGCTGTTCGAGGTGGGCCTGGCCTTTGCTTCTGAACTAATTGACAGCCTCTTCCTGTTTAAGTTCATTGGCTGGAGAGGAAGAAAAGAGTGTGAGTATGTCCCTCCCACAGGAGCATAGTCTCAAGTCACAAGTGCTTGGCACCATGTTAGAAGTTAGGCCCAGGACTTTGGGGCAGAGTCAGCATCCATTTCAGAAGCATTTTTGTTTAGTGCCAGTCCTCTCTGACATTCGCTCACTTGGGAGTAGAGCAGCACCCTGAAGCCCACAATGTCTTATTGGCAGGGGTGTGCACCCGGGAGCCTCCGTTCTATATAATCACTGAGTTCATGACCTATGGGAACCTGTTGGACTACCTGAGAGAGTGTAACCGGCAGGAGGTAAATGCAGTGGTGCTGCTATACATGGCCACTCAGATCTCATCAGCCATGGAGTACCTGGAGAAGAAGAACTTCATCCACAGGTAGGAGCTTGGTCGAGCAGCCCTCCCTACAGAGCCATGGAGTGAGTGTGGGGCCTGGCATCCTTCTACAAAAAGCTCCCGCCTCTGAGGACTTCTGGCCCAGCCTCTAACTTGAGTGCTGGCAACATATTAGACCTTGGAACAAAGGCAAACACTGGGCTCCTGACATTGCCAGCTTTGGGTGTGCTGAAGTCCGGGGCTAAATTCAACCAGGCCTAGACTCTGGACAGCAGAGCAGTTAATCCCTGGGTTAAGAAATATCTCACTTTGGCCCTGGCCGGTTTGGCTCAGCGGTTAGAGCGTCGGCCTGCGGTCCCGAGAGACCCGGGTTCGGTTCCCGCTAAGGGCACGTACCTCGGTTGCAGTTTGTCCCCGGCCCTGGTTGGTCGTGCGGGTGGCAGCCACTCGATGTGTCCCTTTCACATCGATGTTTCTCTCTCTCTTCCTCTCTCCCCCTCCCACTCTACCTGAACAAAAAATAGAAAAATGTCCTCAGGTGAGGATAAAAAAAAAAAAAAAAAAAAAAAAAAAAAAAAGAAATATCTCACTTTGGAATCATGTTGGGCTCAGTAGAATATTAAGTGATTCATAAAAGGCATCCTTCCTGATGATCACAGCTCCCCTGAGTGCAGTGCTCGTTGCTCCTCAAGCCCAGCGTGCACCCAGTGACCTGAGAGCAGTGGGCATCGCTTTTACACAAGTTTGCAGTGATAAGCCACTACGTGGGTTTTGTTTCTGCGTTGCGTTTGTTTCCCTCCCTTCTCTTTATTATCATTTCATTCTCCACTTAACGTGCTGTCATCTGGTTCAGCAATGTTTCCACAGTTGTCAGAATTGTGTATCTGTGGTTCTAAATTAAGCGTCTTTGCTGTTTTAAAGCCTGAAGTGTTTTGACCTTCAAGTGTGCCACAATTATCTTGGTCTTCGCATTCTTTGGCGGTGGAAATGGCTTCCTAGCAAAGTGACAGCCTGTGCAGGACAGAGCCTGAGGGGCTTTGCCGGAGTCTTTTATACAAGATGTTCTCCACACTGCCGTGGTGACCTTTCCTACCCAATTAACTCAAGTGTGAAACCTGTACATGAGGTTTCATAGTGAGAAATAAGAGTAGCATGCATGAAATGCTGGCAGTTCCTTGTAAGACAGATTTTCTCTGCTCCATGAGACCCTGATTCAGATGCTCCTGTCACTCAAGAATGTGAACCCTCTGAGGCTGCAAATTGAGATTTCTTGACTTCTGGTTTGCCTTGCACAGCTAGGTCCATTCCCTCTTCATTTGGGCAAACATAAAATCCTTTACCAAAATCCTAATAGGCACAACTCTCTGTATTTAATTTCCCTCTGATTGCTGATGATCAAGCTGTCCTGTGCAGCCATCACTACAGCTGCTGCCTCTTCTCATTCCTCTGTTCCTGTTCGCCTTATGATTTCCTGGCTAATGTCCGTGAACAAAGATTAGACTCCTACCCCTTGGTAGAATCAGGAGGTGAGAGGAAGCTGATTATACAGGAGAGAAGTTATAGGATAAAACATTTGGTGGATAAGCATCGGGAAGAAAGAAGAAACACTATTTGGGCAAAAAATGCTCTGGGCTTTATTTTATTTTGTCCTACCAAGTCTGGATGGGACAAGCGGAGAGTCCCTCTGATGTAAGTTTCTCACAATAGAAGACTGGTCCCTGGCCTAGAGCAGTGATGACCAAATTAGACACCTAGATGAAGCACTTTACATGTTGATTATCATTCACAACAACCCTAAGAAGTAGGCGCTGTTGTTGTCCTTTTCATTTTATGGATGAGGTAACTGAGTTCCAGCATCATTACCTTGCCTCCAGGTCACAGGGCCAGGGAGCCTGCTCCCAAGCCCTGAGGGGTCTGCTGCCTCTCACCATGCTGGGAGCCCAGGTGAGAGCTGAGGGGTGGGTGTTGCTCCCTAGTGAGGAGTTAACGTGAGTTCCCAGGGTACCAGACTCCCTTTTTCCTTTGTCGGTGGTGGATTAGTAAAGCTGGAGAACTAGCCAGGAAGTCTCACGGGTGAACTTTTCCTTTCCCAGAGATCTTGCTGCCCGAAACTGCCTGGTAGGGGAAAACCACTTGGTGAAGGTGGCGGATTTCGGCCTGAGCAGGTTGATGACAGGGGATACCTACACAGCCCATGCCGGCGCCAAGTTCCCAATCAAGTGGACAGCGCCTGAGAGCCTGGCCTACAACAAGTTCTCCATCAAGTCCGACGTCTGGGGTAAGGCCACTTCTGTTCCCTCCTCGCCTGTCCAGAGTGTGGCTTCTTTTCTCCTTTTTTATTTTATTCTCCTCTCCTTGCTTTTTCATTTCTTGCTATTTTATTTCTCCCGCACCCCCCCATTACTTAATTCTCTCTTTTGCTTGTTTTTTTTTTTTTCAATCTTCAGATAGAGTGGGAGGGAGGGAGAGAGAGAGAGATCAATGTGAGAGAGACACATTGACTGGTTACCCCCCCCCCCCCCCACGACCCCAGCCAGGACTAGAGACTGAACTGCAACCGAAGTACGTGCTCTTGATGAGAATCGAACCCATGACTCTTTGGTCCAAGGGCTGACGCTCTAACCACTGAGCCAGACGGGCCAGGGCTGCTTGTTTCTTTTTCATTTAAAAGTTTTTTCTGCCCTGACCGGTATGGCTCAGCGGTGGAGCGTCAGCCCCTGGACCAGAGAGTCACAGGTTCAATTCTGGTCAAGGGCGTGTACCTCGGTTGCGGTTGGTCCCTGGCCCTGGGCGAGGTTGTGTGGGAGGCAACCAATTGATGTGTCTCTCTCATGCAGCTGTCTCTCTCCCCCCGCCCCTCCCCACTATTGGACAATAAATGGAAAAAAGTATCCTCGGGTGAGGATTTAAATATCAATAAATAAAAATATTTTTTTCCCTGTTTTCTCTCCAAAATGAAGTAAAAGTGAGCTTTTTCTTCCGAAATAATTTATCCCATCTTTGTCTTCATTCTAAGTTTGCTGTTTGGGTTTGTGGGGGCAGCTAGCCAACCCTGCAGGCACCCAGAGGTTTCCTGTAGTCAGGAAATGCTGTGTACTCTGGGTTGGGCTTTCAATAGGATACTACCCTCTGAAGCATCATGTAACAGTATTATATGTTTACTTTTTTTTTTTTATCCTCACCAGAGGACATTTTTCCATTTTTTGTTCAGGTAGAGTGGGAGGGAGAGAGAGGAACAGAGAGAGAGAGAGAGAGAAACATCGATGTGAAAGGAACACATCGAGTGGCTGCCACCCGCACAACCAACCAGGGCCGGGGACAAACTGCAACCAAGGTACGCACCCTTAGCGGGAACCGAACCCGGGTCTCTCAGGACCGCAGGCCGACGCTATAACCGCTGAACCAAACTGGCCAGGGCGTATGTTTACTTTTTTAAAGAACGTTTTGTTAATGGCAAATTGTAAGCATACCCCAAAGAAGAAATAGTTGCTTAATGAGCCCCGTTGCACCCATCACCCAGCTTTACTGATCACTACCTCATGGTGCTCTTTTATCCTCTGTGCCCCACCCACTCCCCTGACACTTACTTCGAAGCAAATCCCAGACATCATATTATTTTGCCATAAGTATTGAGCGTGAACCTCTTAAAGATGCCATTTTTATTCTCATGACCACTGTGCCCCTCCTCCCAAAGTTGATGGTAATTTCCAAATACTATCAAATATTCAGTTAGTGTTCAACTTTCCCATTGAATCATAAAAGTCATACTTTTACAGTCTGTTTAAATTGAGATCGAAATATGGTTCACACAAGGTGATTAGTTGATATGTTTCTTAAGGTCCCTCTAATATGTAAGTTCCCTCTCCTTCTCTTCATTTACCTTGCTGTTTATTTGTTGAGGAAATCCTATCATTTGTCCTTTAAAGTTTCCCACATTCTGGATTTTGCTCATTGTATCCCTGTGGTATGATTTAATATGTTCCTCTCCAGTATTCCTAGTAAATGGGTAGTTCAATCTGAACAGCTTGATCTTATTCAGATTTGACTTTTTTTTTTCTTTTAGTTATGAGTTCTTGTCGTGTGCGGTTTTGCTCAGTGGTTAGAGCATCGGCCCATGGACCAAAGAGTCTCGGGTTCGATTCCTGTCAAAGGCATGTGCCTCGGTTGCAGTTTGTCCCCGGCCCTGGTCAGGTCATGCAGGAGGCAGCCAGTTGGTGTTTCTCCCCTGCCCCACTCTATCTGTAAATAAATGGAAAAATATCCTCAGATAAGGATTTAAAAATAAAAAAGTTCTTCATAGAGAGTGCTGTGCTTTTTCATCAATAGGTACATAATTTTGATTTTCTCCCTTTTATGATTTTAGCCATTACTGATGTGCATTCCCTCTGTCCACTAATTTATTAGGTAGTTTTTTTAATTCTGTCATTTCTTACTCATTTATTAGCTCAATACTTTTATAAGAAAAAAACTTTCCCTCATCTATTGTTTGGTTATTCAGCGGTACTGTTCATATAGGAAAGGCAGGGTAATGTTTGCTTTCTTGCCATTATTTACTAATTTTTATAATAATGAGTTAGTTTCTTAATGCTCCGCAATGGTGACCAATTAGCTTTTTGTTTATTGTGTGTGTGTGTGTGTGTGTGTGTGTGTGTGTGTGTGTGATATATAAAATGAACTCACATATAATGTGTTTAAACATCCGTGCAGTTATTTTTCTTATTGATACGCAGACCATCTCATCTTTGGCTGGTGGGAACTTCGTGTTGCTCCTAGTCCTTTTGACAAGACCCTTGTAGCTTTCGGTAGCATCTGTGCTGTTTGGAGTGGTCAGATACTTAGCTTCATTCCCTGCCTAGACCTGAGCCACCCATTTCTCCAGGGAGTCGGTTCTGCTTCCCTCATTGGGATCAGGAATTCCAAAGCTATATTCTGGGCCTGCAAGACTTTCAAAGATTTTATAAGATTTTTGTGAAATTTTTAGAGTTGGAAGGGGCCTTAGAGATAATCTCATACTCCAGAAAGGGGAGGTGGCTGTCTTAAGTACAGCGCTAGTAGAAGTGGCCTCCTGCCTTGGTAGCCCTAGATACCCCCACCGCATATCCCAGCAGGATGATCACATTACCTGCGAAACCTTGGAGGGCTCATCAATCCAGTCCTCTTCTCTCCTTCAGCGTTCTAGTCAGTGGGAGTGAGGGAACTGAGCGCTTCATTCTGTCCTGGGCTGTTGTAATTAAGAGCCTAGTAAAATGTCAGCACCTGGCCCGCTTTTGCAGGTATAACTTCTGATGTCTACTACTTAGGTGACCAATTTTAAATGCAAGATACTTAAATCTTGCACGTTTCAAATAACCTTCTTCATTATTTTTTTCCCCTAGCATTTGGAGTACTGCTTTGGGAGATTGCTACCTATGGCATGTCACCTTACCCGGGAATTGACCTCTCCCAGGTGTATGAGCTGCTAGAGAAAGACTATCGCATGGAGCGCCCAGAAGGCTGCCCAGAGAAGGTCTACGAACTCATGCGAGCATGTGAGCCTTCCCCTGCCAGTTCTGAAAATTACATGTGGGCTTTGTAGACATTCCATGCAGGAGTGTGTATGTGAAGTGAAGGATTAGCGTATTCCATTTTCTCTCTCTGTTCCCGGTCTTCAGAGCAGTGAATGAAACCATTTAATACATATTTTTGCAGACTCTTTTTCAGTGTTTCTCTATACCTTTGTTCATACATAGTATTTATGTGTGAGGGCTTTTTGTTCGTTTTTTTAATACAAAATTGGGATTGATGGATACCAAACTTGGATTTCTTTTTAATAAATACAAATTCCTTGACCTACCTTCAAACATGTGCTGCAGTAGGTAGTCAGTCAAGGGGATGTTTATCTGGTTGGTTTTATTATATATATCAAATCATTCCCGCAGCTTTCTTTGCACTTAGCAGTGTGATAGATTTATCTTTTCATATCCATAACTCAGAGTTGTTGCTCCCTCCTCCTCCCCCCATTTATCTTTATCTAGCTCTTCAGCAGCCCATTAAATGATTCAGTCATTCACCCAGTCCTCTCTTGATGAACACTTGGTTGTTTTACACATCTGTTTGGGTTTTGCCATTATAAGCAAGGTAGGAGTGACCACCCTCACACACTTACCTCTCTGCATTGTACCTGTATTGCTAAAAGTTGAACTCTTGGCTCAGAGGGCTCTGTGTATTTTAAATTTTGATAGATTTTACCAAACTGTTTCCCAAAAAAGGTTGTACCAACTTAGACTCCCACCAGAAGTGTATGTGAGTGACTGTACATCCTCCCCAACACTGGGCTTGATCAGTCCTTAATCCTCATTGTAGTCTCGTTTGATGAGCATTTCTCTAGCGATAGGGATTTCGGACTTCGGTGACCATAAAAGGAGGGCGAGGTGGAAGGCAAGCCATTTGGCTTAGTAATCCTCTGCACTTGCTGGAGTGGGGTCGGGAATCAAACACTTGTAAATGCAGTGCTGGCTGTCAGCCTCTCTCTCGGGTTTTCCGATCTATATTGCTGCCAATATCAAGTCTTTTCAAATTCTTAATATCTGTAATAGGACTCAGTGGCATTTGTCACTTTAACTTGTCACACCAAAAGATGGGTAGCAGGAGTGGAATGCTTCTTTCATTTCTAGACTTTTCCTTGAGAAGTGCTAAGCCACACATTTGTTAGCAAGGCCTCAGGGGTGGTCTAATAACTCCAGTCTCATCTGTCCAGGTTGGCAGTGGAATCCCTCTGACCGGCCGTCCTTTGCTGAAATCCACCAAGCTTTTGAAACAATGTTTCAGGAATCCAGCATATCGGATGGTAAAGTCCTTGGGGTGTCTGCAGTGGGGTGAAAGTTGGGGTCGGAGGGATGGCTATGAGGACTCTAGCTCTGGTCCTTTAGTTCACTTCCAGGGAGAAGTGCGCGGGCCAAGTGACCTGAGATCAGAAAGCTGAACGGAGTGTTGAGTGTGGAGCCCTCTCTTTTGTAGCCATGCAGAATTCTAAAAACTACTAAGTGTTGTTTCTTTATCATTTGTATCTCTTTTCTGTCATTGTGTGTAGATGACCACTGTTATTTAAAAAAGAAAAACCCAACATACAAAAATGACACCACTACTGATGCTCCCGGTTTGTGTGTGTATGTGTTGTTTGTTTTTGGTTTTCTTGGCGGTCTTAGAAGTGGAAAAGGAACTGGGGAAAAAAGGCATGCGAGGTGTTGCAGGTACTCTGCTGCAGGCCCCAGAGCTGCCCACCAAGACAAGAACCTCCCGGAGAGCCACCGAACACAAAGACTCCACCGACGTGCCTGAGACACCCCACTCCAAGGGCCCGGGAGAGCCTGGTATGTCCCCCATCCCTGCCAGAGGCCGGGGCCAGTGTGGCCAAGGAAGCAGTGAGTGGGACCTGCGCAGAGGGCAGGCAAATGCCACGCTAGTGGTCAGCATTGAAAGGAAGGTTCTCCTCTTCCCGCAGCAAACCTCCCCCACCCACCCCATCCCCCCAACCCAAGAGTCCTTAGGAGCCATTGGCTTTAGAGTTAGTTCAGTCAGAGAGGCAGAGCTGCTTATGAAACCTGAGAAGGGAACCCACATTTTCTTGTATTATTCACGCCCGTGGCGCAGAGTGAGTGTCCTGTCTAGTCTCTGCAAAGCAAGAGGGGGATGGGACTGGTTCAGGAGGGTCTCGATATTGTCAGGGATTGGACCTGGTTCCACCTATGTGCCAGACTCTACTGAGAGCCAGGCTGCTCTGATGCAGCAGTTGTCCCCCTGCCCCCAAATCCTGGAGGTCTGGGCCCTGCTGCAGGCAAGCGGCAGAACAAAAGTGGCAGAGTAGGCCAGCGTCTGGTTTGTAGGGGAAGCTCTGACGGACCACAGACTAAGTGGGAAGGGACAGTGCAGAGCTGGAGTTATGGGATATTTTGTCACAGCAGATTCCCAAGTTGTTGAATTTTCTGTTTGTTTTGTTTTTTAATGCTTTTATTGAGTCTGGAGAGAGAGGAAGGGAGAGGAAGAGAGAGAGAGAAACATTGATTGGTTACCTCCTACACACTTTTTGACTGGGGATCGTGCCCTGAACAGGAATTGAATCGGCGACCTTTTGTGCACAGAATGATGTTCACCTGAGCCACACCAGCCAGGGCCCATATTTTTAAAAAGTTGATGTCGCCTGGCCGGTTTTGCTCAGCAGTTAGAGCGTTGGCCTGCAGTCCGGAGAGACCTGGGTTCAGTTCCCACAAAGGCATGTACCTCGGTTGCAGTTTGTCCCTGGCCCTGGTTGGATCGTGTGGGTGGCAGCCACTCGATGTGTCCCTTTCACGTCGATGTTTCTCTCTCTCTCTCTCCCTCTCTCTCCCATTCTATCTGAACAAAAAATGGAAAAATATCCTCGGGTGAGGATAAAAAATAAATAAATAAATAAATAAATAGTTGATGTCCTAGCCAGTTTTACTCAGTGGTTAGAGCATCAGCCTGTGGACTGAAGGGTTGCGGGTCCGATCCCTGGCCCCGGTTGGGGTCATGCAAGAGGCAACCAGTTGATGTCTCTCTCTCGCATCAATGTTTTTCTCTCTTTTTCCCTCCCTCCCACTCTATCTAAAAATCAATGGAAAATATCTTTGGGTGAGGATTAACAAATTTTTTCAGTTGCATGCATAGCATACACACACACACACACACACACGTACCACTACACAAATATATTTATATTATGAACCATACACTTTAAAGTTCCCATAAGAAATATGTCCAAGTTACAGTCCTTTCTTTCCACAACCCTGATCGTCTTGCTCAGCCCACTTGGGAGGCCACGGCACCTAAACTGCAGAGCCGTGGACCCGTTGTCATTCTGTTAGTCATGCTTTCAGGTCGCTGAGCAGTGGGGAGGAGCTACTCTGGGGACTTCAGGCTTACGAAGCAGCCAGTGATGAGCAGTCATGTTCATGTGTGCCCGTCAGTGTTCATCTGAGGGCTATTTTGATATGTGCTCTCACGAACCAAGAGTGTCAGCTACTCAGCCCTGGGATACAGCTGTGCAGAGTTCATTTGAATTTCACCTTCCTTGCCCTCCTCCCCTGGCTTACAGTTTTGGGAGGTCCTCGGCTTTCCCTGAGCCACTTGTCCTGCGCACCCCCTGGTATTCTGATGAATGCCTCTGTACCTCTGCTCTGCGTTATGAGGGGTGACAGGAAACCTCTCGCTGCAGCTGCCCCCGAGGGGCACTCTGTCATTCACTGGTGAGGACCTTGGCAACACCAGAAAGATTTCTTAGAAACTGTTGTTCATATTGAGAGAGTGTCCATTTAAAATTTTTATAAGGTTACCCCTTCTTGTTTCCCAAACATAATGAATAGCCCATTGTCACTGTGCCCAGTGGGTGTGTCCCTTTCTCTCTAGATCACTCCTCGTAGGCACCTTAACCCACTGGCTGGTCAGACCCTTTGCTCAGCCTCGTTACGGTTTTTACTGACCAGACGGTGGGGGGCGTCTGCTGGTTTAAAGGAAAACAGTGCAGGGATGGGGGCCAGGGGCTTCAGCTTTCTGTTCTGCTGTCTTCAAGAGAGACCTAGGCTTTTCCTAATAAGAATATGAACAACGGGGACAATAGTTATTGAGAAATTATGCTCCAAGAGCTGTGACAATTGCCCCACATTCATTATTGCATGACATTGTCCTAACAGTGTACAGGTGGGTGTATTGTTCCCCGTTTCATAGATGAGAAAGCTGAGGACGAGCAAAAAGAAGTAAGTTACCTGGGCCTCATGGCTGCTGAGCGGCAGAGCTGGTCACCACACCGGCCTTCCGGCACCCAGAGCCCAGACCTCTGTGGGGGGTGGGAGGCCGGCTGGGGCTCCGTGCCCCCCAGGAGCCTTTCGTCCAGGCTGGCTCAGCTCTCCCACTGTGTTTCAGACCCGCTGGACCATGAGCCTGCTGCGTCCCCACTGCTCCCTCGGAAAGAACGGGGTCCTCAGGATGGTGGCCTGAATGAAGATGAACGCCTTCTCCCCAAAGACAAGAAGACCAACTTGTTCAGCGCCTTGATCAAGAAGAAGAAGAAAACAGCCCCGGCTCCTCCCAAACGCAGCAGCTCCTTCCGGGAGATGGACGGCCAGCCAGAGCGCAAGGGGCCCGGCGAGGAAGACGGCCGTGAGGTCAGCAACGGGGCGCCTGCTCTCACACCCTCGGATATAGCCGAGCCAGCCAAGTCCCCCAAACCCAACAGCGGGGCTGGTGTCCCCAATGGAGCCTTTCGGGAGGCGGGGGGCACAGGCTTCCGGTCTCCCCCGCTGTGGAAAAAGTCCAGCACGCTGACCAGCAGCCGATTAGCAGCCAGCGAGGAGGAGAGTGGCAGCAGCGCCAGCAAGCGCTTTCTGAGGTCCTGCTCTGCCTCCTGCGTGCCCCACGGGGCCAGGGATACCGAGTGGAGGTCAGTCACGCTGCCTCGGGATCTGCAGTCCACGGGAAGGCAGTTCGACTCTTCCACTTTCGGAGGGCACAGAAGTGAGAAGCCAGCTCTGCCTCGGAAGCGGGCGAGTGAGAACAGGTCTGACCAGGTGACCAGAGGCACAGTGACGCCCCCACCCAGGCTGGTGAAAAAGACGGAGGAAGCGGCTGACGAGGTCTTCAGAGACACGGCAGAGTCCAGCCCGGGCTCCAGCCCTCCCAGTCTGACTCCAAAACTCCTCCGGAGGCAGGTTGTGGTGGCTCCTTCCTCTGGTCTGCCCCACAAGGAAGAGGCCGGGAAGCCCAGTGCCTTGGGGACACCTGCCGCCGCTGAGCCAGCGCCCCTCACCGGCAGAGCAGGGCCATGTGCATCTGGAGGGACCAGCAAGGCCCTCACGGAGGAATCCAGACTGAGGAGGCACAAGCCCTCCTCCGAGTCCCCAGGGAGAGACAAGGGGAAACTGTCCAAGCTCAAGCCTGCCCCACCCCCCCCTCCGGCCTCTGTGGGGAAAGCTGGGAGGCCCTCTCAGGGCCCTGGCCAGGAAGCAGCCGGCGAGGCCGGCACCGGCGGGAAAGTGAAATCGGCTGCCGTGGTGGTGGAGGCCGTAAACAGTGACGCCGCCAAGCCCAGCCAGCTGGGAGAGGGCATCAAAAAGCCTGTGCTCCCGTCCATGCCAAAGCCTCCGTCATCCACCAAGCCAGCCGGGACCCCAACCAGCCCCGTCCCCGCCCCCTCCACTTTGCCAGCAGCATCCTCCGCCCTGGCAGGGGACCAGCCATCCTCCACCGCCTTCATCCCTCTCATATCGACCCGTGTGTCTCTTCGAAAAACCCGCCAACCTCCCGAGCGCATCGCCAGTGGCACCATCACCAAGGGTGTGGTCCTGGACAGTACCGAGGCCCTGTGCCTGGCCATCTCCAAGAACTCTGAGCAGATGGCCAGCCATAGTGCCGTGCTGGAAGCCGGCAAAAACCTCTACACGTTCTGCGTGAGCTATGTGGACTCCATCCAGCAAATGAGGAAATTTGCTTTCCGCGAGGCCATCAACAAACTGGAGAATAATCTCCGGGAGCTTCAGATCTGCCCAGCAACAGCGGGGAGTGGCCCAGCGGCCACTCAGGACTTCAGCAAACTCCTCAGCTCGGTAAAAGAGATCAGTGACATCGTGCAGAGGTAGCAGAAGCCAGGCGTCAGGCAGCCAGATCCGCTTGCCGTGCGTGAGGGCTCCCCTGTGCCCCTGACAGTGGCTGACAAGGACCAGTGAGCTGGGACCTTGGCCCAGGAGCTGAGGGCCACCGTGGAATACAGCCCTACTACCTACGTCGTGCACCAACTGTCCTCCTGCACTTTCCTGCTCAGCCCGCTCGCCGAGCCCTGTCCTGCGTTCTGTCTGGAGTCCCGCTGGACTGCGGTCGGCATGCCAGCCCTTGCCGCAGGCTCTTCCAGGCTGAGCGCTGCAGCCGGCTGGGAAGTGGGTGAGCATTCCCTCGTGTTTCTTCTCTTCCTGAGGGTTCCCTCTGCCTCTGCCTCCTCCATGTTCCCCAACAAGTGCCCTGAACGGAGCTGTCACCTTCACTCACCTGGTGGAGGGAGCCTGCACCCTCCTCCTCCTGTCTCCTGTGCTTAAGACACGTTTCCAGAATGACCCGGGAAGCTCTGCCAGCGGTCCCTCTGCCTCCACTGTGCCGGCCTGGTGCCCTCCCCGTTTCCTCGTGTGAAGGACAGCTCTTATTCGGGGGGTAAAACGGGGTGCTGACACCAGCCAGCCTTTGGGTCCCAGGAATGGGGGGCGCTGAAGAGGCCCATGGTGTGGAAGAATGTCCTGTCACCCTTCTCTGCATGTCCCCAGAGCCCAGTTTCTTGTTCTCTTGTGACATGCACTGCTAATCCTGGATAGAAAGCTTGAGTCTTAAGGGGAGTAGGGTCGCTGTCCAGCATACGGGGCAGGGGAGGCGGGAGGGGTGACTTGTTGGGTGAACAGCTGGTGCTGGGATGGCCCGGGCCCTAGGCAGGCCTTCGGGGGTCCCAGTGTTACCTTCCTTTTGCATTTTCCGGTGCCCTGAAAAAGGCACTTGATCTTGATTTCTGACCAATCTCCTTCCCCTCCCTTGCCCTCCCCTAAGACAGAGTAGATGTTTGCAGGGCTCTTTCCTTTGTGAGTCTTCAGTTTTCTGGGGTTTTGAAGCATTTCAAAGCTCTGCCTTCAGCACAGCCTCCAAGACGCTGGGCACCAGCACGCAGACGGGAGGAGAAAGACCTGCGGCACCAAAGCCCCAGCAGTGGTGGCTGTACCCTCGTGGGCAGGCATCTTACTCCATTACCACGAGCAACACTTGGCCATCAGGGATGAAGATAGCCACAGAGGAAACCCCAGAACGTGTCTCGAAGAGCAGGCCTTGGTGTCACCATCTCCTGGCTGCCCAGGACCAGGCTCGTGGGCCAAGGGCTCAGGTCTCCTTGGCCTTGACCTAGAGCAGCTGCTGAGGAGTGGGCGGACACCTGCCTGGGCCTTACTGCAGACCCAGAAGTAACCCTTGGAGACACTAGAAGAAAACCACCATCTGCTCCCCAAAACCTTCTCGTGCCTGTGACCTCACACAGGCCGTTTTTACGCTAATCACCTAAACTTGTATTTTATTTCTCTGGATTGTTTGATACTGTTCTCACAGCGCATCACCTCTTCGCCCCCAGACTGCCATGTCACAGACTGAGGGAGGTGCTGGAACACCGCCGGCCTCGCGGGCAGAGCGAGCAGACCCACGGCCTCGCCTCCGCCTCCGCGAGGTGCTGGTCTCTCTCCACATGTGCCACTACGTCTGCATCTATACTTTGGTATTACACTCGTAGACGTGCTCTTTTATAAGTGACGTGTGAATAAGTTCCCACTCCCCTCCCTTCCTGAAGGCCTCTGGTGTCTCTTTTTTTCCTTTGGTCCAGTACATTTTGTTTCTGTATATGACTCTGTTTTTTGAATCCACATCTCTCCTCCGTAGTATTTTTTAAATAAATGTTTACATTAGAATTTGGGCGGATTGCTTTGTTCTGTAACTCTTCCCTGTTGCCCAAAGCCAAGGTGCATGTCGGGAGGGAGGGCGCCGTTTTCCTGGAGGGCTGGAGGCTCTGCCTTGGGTTTTGTGGAGCAGAACAGGGCAGGGTCACGGCAGGGTCCTGTGGCCTGTGTCGCCGGCAGGCACTTTCCCTGCCCTGCCCTCAAGCCCTCCTGCGCCCTTGACGCTCGCTTGCTCGCAGCCCAGCTCTTGTCAGCGGCACTGAGAGTGGGCTGGGCCACGGTGCGGGCCTCTCTGTCTGGTGCAAGCAAGGAGGGCTAGCCCGAGGGTTGTGCCAAGGGCCAGGCCACCACAGGTAATGGCAGTGGGGGCAGGGGGCCTGATGTCCTGACTCCTCACTGGCCGGAGGGAGTTAATCCCCTCACCGGTGCTGCTTCTCTCCCTTCGCCTTTGAACTCACTTTCTGCCACTGCCCTCCGCCCCGAAATGCCCCTCACTGTTCACCACGCCTGGTACCATCTCTTCTGGAGGAGAAGCAGGGTGTGCTGGCCTGCAAGGGGATGGAAATGCCGCCCTGGGCCCTGCCTCGGCCTCTCCTGCCCCCAGCCAGGGGGCCGTGGGGGCTGGCACCGACTTTTCTCATCTTGGTCTCCATGTGACCAGCTGACAGCAGGAAGTGGAGATCAGGCAAGTGAGCAGCACCTGTGATGATGATGCTTCTCAAGCCAGTGGATGTGTCGGGTGTAGATCTGCTCGCCAAGCACAGGAAGAGCGTGGTTCCGCCCAGCCTCAGCTCCAGACGGTGGAGCGAGACATGTGGGTGCCGGAGGCGGAGGTCCACCTGGCCGGCCACTGGGTCCCGTCTGCGCGCGAGCAGACAGCAGCCGCAGGCTGAGCCGGCGCAGGGCTCGTCCCTCGCTTCCCAGCGGCAGAGCCAGCGGGCCCAGCTCTGGCAGTGTGGGGCTGTGAGTGGACACCCGCTCTCCTGGGGCCTTCTCCCTGGGGCAGCTGCAGTCAGCCGTGTGCAGTGGTTAGGCTGACGGCTTCCGTGACAGCTGCTTCCTCCGTGTCAGGTGTGGATGGTCCCGCCGTCGCACAGCAGCCTCGTGGGCAGGGTGTCTCGAAAGGCATCTTTTTTTTTTTCAGTTAATCCTCACCAGAGGGTATTTTTTCCATTGGTTTTTTCTAGAGAAGGTGAAAGGGAGAGAGGGATGAGGGGGAGGGAGAGAGAGAAACAGTGGTTCCCTCCTGCACACTCCCAACCAGGACCAGGGAGCAGACCTGAAACCCAGGTACATGCCCTTGACCAGGGATCGAACCCACGACCCTTGGGTGTGAGGGCCAACACTAACCGCTGAGCCACGCCAGTCAGGGCCCGAATAAGGATCTTCCATACATGTCACCTGAGTGTCGTCAGCTTGGTCCTGGCCGTTCTAGGGCAATGGTTCATAAATTGTGTTTAGATCACAGAACCCTTGACATAACACAGACTGGCCCCAGCCCCAGAAAAAGGCACATAATGTGCGCACACAACAGTTTTCAGGTAATCTTGAGTTCTACCCTAAAGTCCAGAACCAAGGAGTACCAAGGCCAACCCTGCCAAAAGGGCAGATGCTGTTAATATTATCATGAAATACAAGCCTCAGATGTCTCAGTCCTAGGATAGGGGCACTGGTGTGTTCATGTAGGGCGATGTCCGAGCCTGCGTGTGAACGGATGTTGGCACTCTGGTACGTGAGCCTCACCCGTGGACTGGGGAGGTCCGCTTTCACTGACTCATGAGCATGGGCAGTCTGGGCGGTGGTGTATGTCCGGATGGAGGGTGACTTGGGGGATCATGCCGGGTGAAGGCACAGGGGAGCCCTAGGGAGCAGGCAGTGCTGCTTTTTAGTGCGCATGGTGCCAGCTAACGGGCAGGCCCTTGGTGAAAACCCCCACTGCACACTTCAGAGCGGAGCACATTCCTGATGGGTCCCTTTCAGCGGGCGCGCTCTCCAGGTCCACACTTCCAGCCCTCGCAGGCGTGCTGTGCGCCAGCACCCGGGCCTCGTGCCTTTCTTCATGTGGGCTGCCACCGCCTCGTGGGACAGGTGAGGAAGCGGAGCCTCCGCTTGCCCAAGGTCACACTGTGGGCTGGCTTCCAGCTGCTCTGCCAGGACTAACGGACGTGCAGATGGCCTCAGCGTGACTAACAGACCTGTGCTCCAAGGCCAGGCCTCCCTCCATCGTGGAGGAGAAGAAATGAAGAATTAGCTCACTCAGCTTCTCCGGTATCAAGGAACTTTATAAGAGGCATTCCCAAATTGAGTGCTCTTGGCAAATCAAGTTCTAAATGTTGTCTTGGTGCAGAAGATGTCAGGTGGGACAAGACTGCCCCGCCACGGCGTCCTGTCCGTGTCTGCCCTCCTCCCTGGTGCTCGCCCAGCGTCGGGCAGGGCTCCAGCTCGCTGCTTGGCTGGGTCTTCAGTGGGATGTGTCACGCAGCGTCTTTGGCACTGGGGCCAGTTAGGGTGAGGTGGCCCCTTGTCTGCTACAGCAGCTGCCTGATGGCTCCCTGCCCCCCTGAACCTCTTCTCTTCTCAGACATTTTTACTAATATTGTGAACATGTAGGAAAATATAGACAGAAATAGTCCCCATCCAGTTTAAGAGCTCTACACCCAAGATGAAGCCTTTCTTGTGTTTGAAGTGAACATGTCCAAGGATGCCAACTGCTCTGGGCACCTGTGCCGGGGGAGGGGCCCTGGCTGCTCGAGGAGCTTGCTCTGCATCAGAACAAGTGTTTCTCTGCCAGCCTCACCTTTGCCAAGCTGCAGAGGGGCTGCCCCACCAAGGGGAGAGTGGGCGCGGGGGTGGCGTGGGAGGCCCCAAACCTAAACAGAGCTGGGTGGGGGTGTCGAAAGTGGATGGGTCTTGAAGAGATGCAGCCAAATGGAGTGGGAGTGAATTGAAGAGATCCATGCCCTTAGCAGCTCTGTTGTTCTGATTTTCAGGGTTATTGAGCTTGAATGTACCAGCAAGTTGAAAGAATAGCTCTGTGGTTGATTTCTGTTTAATGATGGAAGCCTAATGATGGGATGTCCATGCCTTTGAAGGCCTCCCCTCTCCCCTTGATCTCCAGTTTCCTCGCTGAGATTAATCTGGTCCGACTAAACTAAAACCCAGCCAGGGCAAGTGTGTATAAACACACACAGGCGTGTCTCAGCCTTGGCGACCTCCACGTCTAGTGCTGAGTGGCTGCGAGGGTGGCTCTTGGTTAAGGTGTGTATTTTCACATCCTAAGAGCAGACATTGGCAAGTGGCGGTCAACCAGGGGACCCTCCTGCCAGCGTCCCTCTGATCTGCTTCACCTGGTCCCTCATGAGCACGTTCTCTGGTTCCTGAGGGTGGTCCAGGTTGCTGTCTCCCTACCCCTACCTTAGCAAAGTGGGGTTAGCACACACGGGGGTGGGAGGGCCTGAGTGGGAACCGTCTTGGTGTCATCTGGCACCCGGTGACAGATTAGCAGTGCCAGAACTGTCCTTCACGCACCCACGAGCTTGTTTGTCCTCCGTGGCTTGAGGGCTGTTTGCCCCTGTTACCCACAGACCGAGACCCGAGGATGTGTTCCGTCCCCACCAGACCGTCATTAGCAGGAGGAAACCTGAACCGTCCCTCCTTGGACAGTGGTGGAGGTCAGAGTGTGGTGTGCCTCCCGAGCTCCGTCTGGCCCCTCAGCAGGCTGGGCCCAGGGCAGGTGTGCCAAGGCGCCCGGGAGAAGCCGGGGGCGGGCTGGGCGACTGCAGACGGCCTCAGCCCGAGGTGGTACGCTGGCTCCTGCGTGCCCATGCTGTTACACCCCGGCTCTCCCCGGGCAGCGTGGCGCCCGTGGCTCCGATCTGCACACCCCTTAATGAAGTGGCTCTCCAGCTGCTGAGAATTGAGAGCTGCGACTGGGGAATGTAAGTCACTAATAGACTGGAAAACTCTGAAACGCCCCAAGGTGCCAAGCTGGTCCAGCCCAGTGTGGTTCTAAAAGGCTAATAAAAATCCACCAATTAATTGTGACAGCTCAATGGAAAATTATTCGATTGTGAACAGGGGCCAGCAGCAGCTCCGAGAGGAGGGGAGATGTTGCCATAGTAACATCAATACGGGGTCTCGGCTGGGCAGTTGAAGCGGCCGGCGTGTCTGACAGGACGGGGACACACCAGGGCGGCGTCCTGGGCCTCCCCCTGGCCTGCAGCCTCTCCCTGTGGAGAAGGTGTTTTCAGAACCTGGAGAAAACCCGGAGGAGGAGTCAGCGCAGGAGGGACTGCAGGAGGGACTGCACCCGGCTCCCTGTACCTCTGCCCCTGGGCGTTTTCCCGACAGCCAGTAGGGGAGGCTGGGAGAGCTCCTGCAGCACTTCCCACCTCCCCGGAGTCAGGGCGCTCAGGAAACAGGGTCCTAGGGCACAGCGGACCCCGAGGCAAGAGCCAGTTTGCGGTTGTTACAACTTTTATTTCGAAATATCCACACCACACATTTCACATTCTGTGCCTTTGGAGCGCAGCCTTGCTACAGCGGAAGCGTGTTTCGTATTCACCTCCCACGAGACGCCACGCGAGCCGGCGACGGGAGGGAACAACGCAGCTGGTTCCGAGTGGCATCCCAGCCCCACAGCAGGGTTTCTTGCCAGAGGGACCTTGTGTTAATGGGGCGAAGAACAAGATTTCTCGTTCCGTGTGTCACTCGCAGAGCGTGTTCTCCCCAGTGGAGCGCCCTCATTCACGTCGCTGGATGGCAGCCCCAGAGGTCCCCCTGGAGGCGGGCAGAACTCGGACCCCCACCGCAGTCACTCAGCCAGCCTGGATTCATACCAACAGGGTCCTCAGCTTGGCCACAGGCAGAGGGCCACCCAGAACCAGACCACGGGGAGGGGTCAGCAAGCTGCACAGCGGTGGGTGGCGTTTCCTCCGAGTGCACAGCTTGCTTCTGGCCACCGCCCAGATTCTTCAGTAAGGTTGGAAATCAAAGTAAGCACCCACCTAACCAATCCTCCGGCTAATAATTGATTATAATGACACCCACCCCTTGCCAGGGTCTCTGAGGGGGGGAGGGTCCGAGGAGAACCCCTTCCCGGGACACCCTGGCCCTTCACCGCCGGCCGAAGCGGAAGCTGAAGCCGCCTTTCTTCCTGCTGTAGCCGCTGAGCTCCTCGGCCAGCGTCCCTAACGGGCTCCTGGCCTTCTCGCCATCAGCCAGGGGGGGGCCAGCGGCCGCGCTGTCCTCGTCCCGCCTCCCGGGCCGGAGCCCGGCGCCAGCACGCGCTCTGCCCGACATCTGCAGCTCCTTGGGCACGACGAGCAGGGCATGTGGGTGCGGAGCGCTCGGCCACTGAGAGGAGCCCCACGGGAGGTGGACGCCGTGTCCCCTGGCCAGGCCGGCCCAGCTCATCTCCCCTCCGACGGCCCCCGTGGTGTCCATGGGCTCTTCTCCGTCCAGTAGAGGAAAGCAGGTGCCCAGCGGCAGGAGGAGGAGGCAGGACAGGAAGGAAGGGCTCACCATCTGGTCCAGAGGAAAGAGGAAGACGTTACAGGCTGCCATGTGGGCCAGGCACGACACGGGTCAGCTACTTCCCAGGACCCGCCAGCCATCAGAGGCTAAGCTGGGGGCTCAGCTGAGCCCAGTTGGCAAGTAGCACAAGAAGTGTCACTGCACTGGGGGACCAGGCCTTCATTATCATAGCAGGCATAGGAGCTTCCTGCACCCATTAGGCTGGGTCTTGCTCTCCTGCGGTCCCCGGGTTTGACAGCCGGCCGTGGCAGCTTCGGGTCTGATCCCACCGCTGCTGGAGTGTCTCAGAGCAGCGCCCGGGCAGCCCCGGGAGAGCTGGGCAAATTGGGGTTCATTCTTTTATTACGGTCATTGACTCCTGGGCCATATCATCTCAGAGCTGCGGGGTAAAAGTAACACCCATCTCTCTTAGCTTCAGCTTGATAACGAATGGGTCTAGCTCATGTGGAGCTGGGACTGTCTGTCTCGGACATGGAAACAGGCCGCTCCTCAGAGCAGGACGTAGCCATGAGGCACCTGGTCTAACTCGGCCACCGGGAGAGCAGGGAAACCGTGGCCAGGCATCGGTGGTCCCTAACTTTGAAGCACCATTATCCCCCCTCCCCTCCTCTCCCCTCCCCTCTCCTCTCCTCCCCTCCCCCACCCAGAAGTGTCAGAAAGGCTTCGAAGTTGTGGCTAGGTTATAGAGCTAGAAAGTGGAGGCCTTGTGACCAATGGCCCTTGGGCATTGGCCCCGTCCGTGGCTGATACTCGGCCCTCCAGGAGGTGTCCCTCACCCCCTGTCCCGTGGAGGCAGCAGGCTCAAGCAGGTGACTTGCCCAAGATCTCACAGCTGTATAAGGTCTAACTGGGCCTGACTCAGGAATGGCTCCGTGGATGGCGATCCGTGGAGGGTTTGAACCCGGACTAGAGCTCCCCAACAGGCCCCTGCCTCGCTGCGGTTGCTCGGCCCCCTGACCGCTGAGGAGGGAGTGGAGAGCGGGATCTGGGGAAAACGGCCCGGACCCCCAGGGCTCTCTCCAGAAGCCGTTCCCTTGAAGACGTTCGCAGTGAACTCAGCCAGACAGCCCTACAAGAACCACAAAAGCAACCATCCTCTCTAGCCACAGCCGGCCCTCCTGGGCTCCCGCACCCCGGGCCCGCATCAGCCCGAGCGGCCTGGGCTCCCCTTCCACAGGCGGTTTCCCCGCAGAGACACCGCCACTGGCTGTCAGAACTGGGGCGTCCTTCTGGCGGACGAATCCACGTGGGGCAGCCTGCGTCTTGAGAAAGGGGACATCTTGATGCACAGAAGGAAATGGCCCTTCTCACCTGCTGGGAGGTCACGGACCCTTTCAAGAACCTGGTGGAAGGTTGGGACACTCACCACTGAAAAGTGGGCCCCACAAGTCTGGGCTTCAGGCCCCAACTTCCAGGATGGGGCAGGAGGAGAACAGGATGGAGACTGAGGGCCGAGCCTGGAGGGCAGCTGTAAGGTGAGTGCTGTCCTCTCCCTGGGCCTGCCCAGCCCGGGGTGGCCGCCCGGTGGCCCTGCCCAGCTCCTGGCCTGCGTGTGGGCCTGAGCAGGGCTCCTGCGGGGGAGGGAGGGGCTGGACTCACCGTGCTCTGGGCCTGCTCCCCAGGAGGGCTTCCGGGCCCTGCAGGGCTAGGTAGGCTGTGCTGGGCTCTGTCCAGAGTGTGCTCCCAGGCCCTCCCTGCTTTATATAGGCCCGGGGTGCCCCCCCCCCCCGGCCCCTCGGCCCCCGCCCGCGTGCCCCTGCAGCACACATTCCTGCCTCTGGGATCCCATTGGGGACGCGGTGGTGAAGCAGGGGCGGCGCTGGCTGCACTGAGAGCAGACCCGCCACAGGAAGTGGTCTTGACCCAAAGCGGCATCATTAACTCTGAATGACGGGCACAGAAGCGAGTCCCTTGGGGAGGCGTTGGTGCCCACCCTCAACAATGCCAAGGACCCCACTCTGTCAGGCCGGCCTCACACCGACGGCTCCCGTGGGCTCCGGACCTCGGCCCCTAGAAAACACGAATTGTCTCTCTCGCTAGGTGGGCGGTTGTCAGGTGCCACAGCTCACCGGCCCCAGCGCCTTCGAGGGCGTCGGTGCTCGGAGGCTGAGCCAGGCGGTGGGGTGCCAGCCCCCTGTAACCCCAGTGCCTGACTCAGAGCCTACACCCACTTGGGGAAGGGGGGCTGCCTCGGGGGGAGGTGCAGCGTCGTCATCCATCCGGCTGGTGTGACGCGGGTGCCGGCTAAAGCTGGGCGCAGCCTGCAGTGAGTCACTTCCGCGCCGTGAGGCCTCGGGCCAGACACTTGCTCGCTCTCTGCCTCCGTTTCCCTGGCTGTAAAACCAGAGGTTTGGGCTCCCCGGTTATGCTCTTCCGCACTCCTCAGGATGGCCGTGGGGGGGGGGGCAGGTGTGGGGTCAGACCCTGAGGGCCCCCTCCCAGCCCCCAGGAGGAGAGCACCCCTGGGCGTTAGACACATGGGCCCCCGGAAACGGTTCTGCTGTGAGACAGCCGCTCGCCCAGGGTCCCTTTCAGGACTGGGCCCAGAAACTCTGGGGGTGGCCCCCAGAGCACTGGCACAGGTAGGGGTGGGGGCCAGGTGGGGGAGCCCAGCCCAGCCCCCAACCAGAGGTGCCCAGAGCCAAGTTTGATGTCGGATTTGGTGCCAAACTTCACAGGTCCAGGTTTGTCCAGGTACCCCCAGAACACCTGGCCCAAAAGATTGTCTTCCAGTCTACTTCCTGGGCTCCTCAAAGCCTCTGGGGTCCCACCAGGGGATGAATCCCCCCAACTCTGGAGCAGCTGGGGGAGTGACAGCTGTGACCCCCCCCCCCGACTCAGGGCCTCCAGCAGCAGCACACAGACTGGTCTGCCTGCATCGGGGTCCCAGAAACCAGGTCCCTGCCGGTCAGCTCCCCGCAGCAGAGGTTCCCCGTGGGTCACGGTCAGTGGGGGAGGCCGCAGTGTTGGGAGAGGGGAGCAGGGGGCCTGCTCTCACAAGCTGGAAGCCACCCAGTGAGGGTCCCCGGAAAGCCCTCCCGGAGAAGGGTCAGGCCACATCCCAGGATGTCCAAGCTGATCGGCAGCTTGTCCTTGCTTCTGAATGTGTGGGCTGACCCTGGGCAAGGGCAGGACCTGTTGGGGTGACAGCCTGGTGCTGCTAAGCCCAGGCCCTGCTTGGCTCTCGGATCACCCCCACGCTGTAGCCCCACGCGAGCCTGAGAACTGGGTTCCACGCCTGCTCAGCCACGCACCAGCCGTGGCGGCGTGACTCCGACTCTCCACCAGCGGGAGACCAGCAAGGCCACACCCTGGGGGTCGAGAGCTACTGGGGGCGGCAGGGGAGGTGCCACTGCTGGTGTTCCAGAGCCCAGTCGGCCCTCGCGGGGTGCCGGCCCCCCTTCATGGGGACCCCTCCCGCGCTGTGCTAGGCACTCTGTGGCAAAACCACACGTACGTCGCCAGCCCTCAGAACCTGGTCGCTGACCCCACGGAACCTTCCCTGTTGGGCCCGGGAACCGAGCCAGAGCAGGTTCCCGGTGAGGGAGCAGCTGCCAGCCAGGCGGTCGCTGCAGGGATGCGCCGGGCCGGGCAACGCTGTCCCCGGGGCCCCGGGCCGGGGGGAGGCAGATGGCACGGTCACCTCAGTCGCTTCCAGCGCCTGGCGCATCCCCAGGTGTCTGACTGTTGGCCGAGGACACTGGAGGGCACCATCGGGCAGCGGCCTCTGCCACACAGGCTGGGGGTGCGCTGGGCCGAGGCCTGGCCCCGCAGGCCCTCCAGAAAGACTGGGTTCCGTTACCTGAGCTCAGGGGACTGTTCTGTGCTCCAGCCGCAAATTGGCTTTATGAACGAATAGCCATGACGGGCTGTTCTTAATGAAGACTTGCAGCTCCTCAGGACTCCAGCCTCAGCCACAAGGGACCCACAGGTTCACCCCAAAGCCTAGCCCCGGGGGCTCGAGGCTATGGGGCAATGGTGGGTGGTCTGGGAAACTGCAGGAGGCTGCCCTGGAACCCAGGTGTGACCCGCCTCACGCTCCCCTGTGCGCCGAGCAGGCTGAGGCCAGAGCCAGGTCACCACGAGCTTTATTGGAGCCGGAAACACATACACCGATTGCCCTGGGCCCCTGCTGCTGCCCCGCACACCGTGCTTTGTCCGTGGGAAGCTCTGCTGGTCCGCAAGCCCCCCCCAGCCAGCCAGCCTGTGGTCAGGTCCATGCCCCCAAACCCCGCAAGGTCCCGCCTCAGCCCCCAGGTTTGGGGAGCCCTGCCAGCTGCCTGGCCCACTCGGAGAATGGGAATGGCCCTCTCCCCGAAAGCAGGTGAAGAAACTGAGGCCCTGGGGAGGCCTTGTGCCCTCTGTTCTGGGTTCAGTGTGTCTCCTGAGGGTCCCCCAGCCAGCATGTTGCTCCTCAAACTACAGGACAGTCTGCCGGCCTCACTCAGCCCCGCCCCTTGGCCCCGGCTGTAGACAGGCACCCACCCCGCCCCTCCCGGCACAGCGGGGCAGCTGGCAGTTCCTAGTGACTCCTCGACAATCCTCCGAATCTGGGGTTCAGGTCTTCCAGCTTCTGGGTCCCTGGCCCAGCCAGGCCAGCCCGAGGCTGCGTGGGTGAGGGTGGGAGGCAGTGCAGGTGGGGGGACCGGGAAAATGTCAATTCTGCTCCAAGACAAACATAAAACCTATTTACATGTGACCGCAGAGAGCAAAGGCCTGTGGGACTCGCTCGCAACTCTGTTCTTGTCTCCTGCTGCCTGCTGAGGTCGTCAGGGTGGAAACCCAGGCCTGTCCATCCTCGGACTCGGGAGCTCAGGTGGCAGCCGGATGGCCCCCGGTTTAGCTCGGAGACGCACCCGAAGTTGGGAAGGCCTGGCCTGAGGTCCCCGCGGATCCCTCCGGGCCGCCTGTGCTCGCGGGAGGGACTTGCAGAAGCCGGTACATGCGTTGCCTCAGGACCCCAGTGTGGACACCCCCGTCCTGCTGGCTTC